ACGGGGGCTGGGGGGGCTGGTCACTGCAGTGCAAACCTGAAGAGTAGGATAAATAAGCACATCTCTCAGTTCCTCAGCATCCTGAATCCCTTCTCTTTCCTTCCTCAGAGGGCAGCGCTGACGTCGGATAAGGACATGTACCTTGACAACAGCTCCATTGAAGATGCCTCCGGCGTGTATCCCATCGACGATGATGACTATGCCTCTGCGTCAGGCTCGGGTAAGGCCGGCTGCCTCCACGCTCGCCTTCAAGCTCCATGCTTGCTCTCGGGCGCACACACACGCACACACACGCACACGCGAAGGCAGGCAGGGCGCACCGTGGTTAAGAGCATGCTCTTTGGAGTCCAAGTGCCTGGGCGTGAGTCTAGCTCTCCATCCCCTGAGCTGTGAGATCTTGGGAGTGGATTTAACTTGGCTGAACCGCAGCTTCATTTGTGGAATGGGGGGTCCCTACCCCATAGGCTTGTTGTGAGGATTAAAGGGGTTGACACATCTATAGCTCTCAGAGTTTGCTGCTTGGCATGTAGTCAGCATTCTGTCAACATTAGCTTTCCATTTTATTATGAAGGTTTTCGGAGTGATGTCATGAAAACCACCCTTAAATAGACCCTTCAAGCACTAGTTTTATAAAACTGCCTACGATGAAGATTATGGATGACACCAAGGAGAGTTATATTTCCTTACTCCTAGTGTATGGCTCAAAAGTAGAAGGGAGAATGTGGCAGGGATGTCCTCAGCTCCTTGGTGTATCAGCTATCTGTTGCCTCGGTAACGCTGCATAACAAACCACCCCAGAATGTAGTGGCTAAAAGCAACAGTCACGTATTTAGCTCGTTGTTCTACGGGCTGGCAGCTCAGGCTGCACCAAATGGGCTCCTGCCCATGTCAGTGGTCAGCTGCAGGCTGGGAGTGAAGCTTTGCTGACCTTGGCTGGACTTTGTCAGATCTCCGGAGCAGCTGGGCAGACTTGGCTGTGGTCCACGTGGCCTCTCATCCTGTGGCAGACCAGCCGTGGCTCACAGGGTGGAGGCAGAGATCCCAGGAGAGCAGAAGTGTGCAAAGCTCCTTACAGCCCAGGCTTAGAACTGGCACCGCATCCCGACCACATTTTATTTTATTGGTCAAAGCAAGTCATAAGGCCAGCCCATATGCCACCTCTTAATGAAAAGAGCTACAAAGTGACGCTGCAGAGGATGTGGGTACAAGGAGGAAGAAGCGATTCTGGCCATTTTTGGACTCTCCCTGACGTAGTAAATGTTTCACCTGTGCCAAGAGTGGCCCCCAAGGCTCTGAGAAAGAGGAAATGATCAGGTTAGGAATTTGTGGTCAGCAGCATGCTGGGAAAGTCTTATCCAGAACCCTGCTTGCTTTACATTTTCACTGTAAATTCAACAGATGGTAAAAGTTATGCTGAACATAGTTGTCTGATAATCAGATTGGCCCGGGCTTCAGAATGACCCAGAACAAATTAAAATCAACTGTATCTTTGGTAGAGATCTAGCTACATAAGAGTGAGTGTTTTAAGTTAGAAAATGGCAAGTCTGGAAAAAACCGAGAGGTTGTGGCTGACCTAGTAACAACGAGCTTACAGTGCAGGCCTGATGTAAAAATAGCCTCGTTCTTCTCGGGAGAGTGGTACATATCGCACGCACAGGCTGAGTGTGAAAAGTGCTTCTCCGTAGCCCACAGCTCTATTAATATGTTCGCTCATGGCACCTCTTTTTTTCCTTTAGCACCTCAAAAGTGCCTTGTAACTGTCATCTTCAAAATGTCCCAGGAAATAATAAATGTGGGTGCTTTTTTATCCCCATTTCACAGATCTTAGAATCCAAGAGTGGGTAGAGATCTGTAGCTGTTGTCCAAGTCGTTTTGCTGATTTCTGCCAAGATTGTCCTTAAGTTTACTGTCTGCGCAGTCCTGCTCTGCTGATGGGGCCGGGGGGCTGCCAGGTTTCTGGTTTGGCAGGAGGGTCAGCGTGTTTGATAAAGATAAATGCTAGAGAAGAATTGCCCGAGGCGGATCAGTCATCTGTCTCTACCTCCAGAAGTGCCAGCTCGAGGGAATTCTCTACTTTATAGAATCTCTTCTCCCTCACAACAGACTCTCCACATTCCTAGTTCGGCGATTCACGTTTGTAGCTATTGTGAACCAAGAGGGTGTTGAAAGCCCTTAACTGTATAAATTTCTCATTGAAAATATTTTTCTAAGAAAATGATTTGTCATAGGAGGAGCAGCAGATCAAGCATATTATGTGTAAAATTTTGATGGGAAACCAGGTAAGCTGATACGAAAGAGCAGCGTATTTCTGGGCCCCTCGTCACTAATGACATTTTACAAAACATTTTCTGTGTACAAAATGCTCTCCAATATATAGCACCCTTGAACCTCTGAGAACTAGTTCACATTTTCCAGATGCAGAAACTAAGACTCGAGCATTACTTGCCAAGGTCACAGAACTAATACATGCCAGGCCCAGTACTAGGTTTGTTGGGTTGTTTGTTTAGCGCCAAATCCAATATTTATCCTGATGTACTCTGCCATTTCTTCTCTGCATTATGAGTGGATGTGCTGAAACTAAAGGAGAGAGTGGATATATTAAAATATTAGAAAATGCACCACGCTCGTAGCCATGGTGCTGTCTCCAGCACATTACCTCTGCATTTGCCAGCTGCTTATTACATTAACAGGATTCTGCGAGGAAATCGAGGTATTCATCATTCGCTTCTGTTTGAGGAAACAGGTTAGTTGGAGTTACAGAGTTTGAATTTATTCGAGAGGTTACGAATTTGACGGATGGTGAACTTAAAAAGAATGTTGTATTTGAATGGCAGAAATTCTCAAACATTATTGTGGTAAAAAGGTAAAAAGAAAAAAACCGGTGCCAGGTTGCAGCCAGTGGTTAGTCACCTGGTGAATAAATACTGGATCAGAGCCTGTATTTGCTGGGGACATTCAGGGGACAAATCAGGTGCCATCCCATGGCCTTATGGAACTTCCAGTCCTGGAGGGGAGACTTTAACCAGTAGTTACACAGATAAGTGTTGTGAGGGAGAAGAGTTACACAGATAAATTAGGGTAAGAAAAGTGGTACTAAAAATGCATTTAATGGAAGACTCTGACCCAACATGGCAGAGGGACCAAGGGCAGCAGCTCCTTCAGATAAGGGGTCAACCTTGGAGAGTTCTCCTTTTTTTGGTTTTTGTTTTATGTTTTAAAATAGAAAATGGAGCATGTAGAAGGGAAGAAATCTCATCAAGCAGGAAAGATGAAACATTACAAATAAAAGGGCTACTTGAGAAGGTTCAGGATAATATTATTTTTAAAACTTGCCAGGCGACCCACAGAACCCCTGTGAAGCCGCTCTCCATCGCAGGGCAGGCTCCTGGATTCTTGATGAGCGGGCCTTTGAAAGAACAGCGTCAGCGTCAGCGTCAGCCTCAGACAGTGCTGTCCGCTGACGTGGAAATCTGCACCCCGACGCGTGTCCTCAGCTCATCTCTGCTGCTTTTTCCAGGAGCCGACGAGGACATGGAGAGTCCCGAGCCGACCACATCTCGACCGCTTGCGAAGGTGCCGTTCACCAGCACCGCTCCACAGGCGGAGGCCTCGACGCCGAAGGTGCAGACCAAGATGCCCGCCGGGACAAAGGTGCGTCCTGTGCTGCGCGGGCTGCCAGCTCACTGCAAATGCTCCTTCACTTACTCCTGCAGGCTCGTTCTTTTAAGGGGCCCCGTTGGAAAATATGTTAGGACAAATGGTCTTTTCGTTAGATGATTGTGTCAGGTCAAGCGAAAGAAGATACATGCGGATGCATGTCATTATATGTTTGTGAGAACCCAAAAAATGACAACCCAGAGAACGCAAACTATGGACTTTGGGTGATAATGACTGGGCGATGTGGGTTCCTTGGTTATAATACATGCCCCCTCTGGGGGAGGTGGTTGAAGTGGGGGAGGCTGGACATAGTAGGGCCAGGCGGTAAAAGGAACTCTCTGTGTTCCCACTCGATTTTGCTGTGACCTACGACCCCTCTAAAAAACAAAGCCTACTCAACACACACAAAGAGTAGTTGGTGAGTAGAAGTCACAACAGTCATTTGTGGGAGATTTATTGAGTGCTACCCATTACGTGTCATATACTGTTCTAGGTACTGATAATTGGTAATATTGATAATGAATGATATTAATCCTAGTGATTAAATTTTTACTTTATAGTTACATGGCACAGCTAAATTGAACACTGCCTCTAGGATACTGTTCACGTAGACTTGGCTTTTGAATGGATCTCACAGTGGCCTTCATGCCACCATTATAGATATTCTTTCTGTTTTGTTTTATATTTATATGTGACAAAAAATAAAAAGAACAGTTGTTTGTTCGAGCAGAACATTGCTCTTAATCTTTTCCTTCCATTACGTTCCCATGGCATTTAGACAAGCAGACATGGATGTGACAGATCTTTAACTGGCTTCATTTAATCATCTGGGCTGCCTTTTGGTACTTTCATTTTGCACATGTATGCAAGAGTTAAGTTATTTCAGATTGATTGTATGCTGTAGAAGGAATTCTCACGTAAACTGAGATTCTCTAACCCGCTGGTTTTCAAACCATAGAATTGTCTGAGCTTTAAAAACAGCAAAAATAAGTGGTAGCTTCCCTACCCCATTGCAGTGGTAGGTCCTGCCTTTTTTTTTTTTAACTTTTTAGGTTTCATTGTAACTATAGTTCATTCACACTAGATGGACAGTTGTTGGAGCTGAGTGTTAGAAAGCCAGCAGATGATTTATGTGCGCCTGTTGTAGACTGTAAAGTATTCTGGGTTTCAGAGAGGTGAAAGACAAGGGAGGGCCTTGTTAGGGACAGATGGACAATGAAAGGAGTGGAAAACTTGGATTGGAGTTAGGAGAAATACATGAACCCAGGCACGGATGGTAAGATCAATTTTGGTAAGTAAGTGGTGACAGAGATGGCTGCGCAGGGTTTCCTACTGGGGATCAGGCCTGGGGGAGTCTGGAAGCCGCCCAGTATATGCGGTTATGAGGTTGTTGCAAAGACTTGGGTGTGATGTGATCAAGACCTGAACGAGGCCGTGGAAATGAGAACTCAGGGAGGAACTTAGCTGGAGAGAATGGTGAGAGCAAGTTAGCAGGACTGTGACACAGCAAACTGTGATATAGTTTGGAACGTGCAAAAATGGTAACCGGGGGGGGCAAAAGAACGGTTGGTACCATTCATGGAAATAGAAAGCGGGTCTGATTTGGTGCTGCAGCCAAGGGTTAGAGTCCTACAGGCTACTGGGTAAATGATGATAATGCTGACCGGAGATGATGTGTTGAGAGTTATCATCTTAGACTTAATCCTTTAGATCTGTGGGATACCCAAGAGCCTGAGAGTGTTCTTCACTGGTTGAAAAAACCAAGGTCCAGGAAAGTGGCGACTTAGGATCACACAGGAGCTACTGGCAGCACCCTGGTCCCCTGAAGCTCTAGCTCAGGGCTCGCTGACCGGGTAAGAGTGCATAAGTCAAGGGAAGGATTGTAGAGTAGGCCTGGGGGCTACTCCCCACAGAGAGGGATCAGGAAGAACCTTTGGGGAGCAACCGGAGAGAATGTCTAGATGGAAGCTGGCACAGTGCCCTGTGTGGCAGAGGGATGGAGAGAGGAGAGCTGGGACAATGCCACTGGGTTGGAGCAGCCAGAGAGGGGATGGTGGCCTGAAGTCAGAAGAGCGGTGAGAAAGTAGAGATCTTTTGAAATGTCAACGAAAACAACCTAACCATGTCGTCAGGGTTGTTACGAACTCACTATCTATCTGTCTTGCCAGTATGCGTGATTTTCTGTTATAAAAATCCGTGAACTACATGGGTTTATCATAGAACTCACCCCTTTGGTGAAAACATCACAGAAAGTGGTTCTTCCAATTTATTTCCTAAACTTGTTTGAAAGAAAAAAAAGCAACTTTGAAATATAATTATTATTATTTTTCAACACTTTAAAAAACTCTTTACAATCTTTCCCTTTCCCATATCTCCAGTCACCTGAAGAAATTGATAAAGAGAAAGTTCACTACTCGGACTCGGAGAGAAAAACGGACCCAGATGAAGAGGGTACAGATGTATATACTGAGAAGCACCCAGACAACCTGTTTAAAAGAACAGAAGTCCTGGCAGGTGGGTAGCCTGGCGGGGTCAGGGCAGAGGCTCCCTCCATGGGCCTCTCTCTCTGTCTAAGTGAGAGTCAGGGGTGCAGACCCAGCTGGCTGAATGTCACCTGAAAGCCGTCTGGGGGGCGGGGGTGTCATTCCAGAGTGAGAGGCAAGAGTTAGGCAGATGTTGTCTTTATCTTCTGTCCTCTCCCTCGGGCTTGCCCTTGGCCGGCCACTGGGGGGGAGCCTGGGTGGGGGGAGAAGAGGAAGGTTAAGGTCTGAACTGGTCTAGAACCACTGGGCGGGGGTGGCAGGATGTGAGGATCCATCCGTCCTGCTCCAAGTCACTCTGATTTCAGAATGAATTAAAGAGAAGGGCAAGTTCTTCATGGAAAAGGGAATTGACACAAGTAACACCCAAGATCTTAAGGGCGTTGCTCTCATTGTAACGTGTCTGATGATAGCATTACTTTCGATTTTTCGAAGGGGAAGGTGTACAAGACTTAAGAACACATAGTCCTTGAAAGGACAGTCCCAAATCTGAGTCTTGAAAAAACTTTTTGCATGCTTTCTCCCCCTTTACCCTTACAAACTTTAAGCAAATCATAGCACGCTTTGTGTTTTCCTTGAAAAAGCAATGAGAAGATGAGACTGTGAAATGTGAGAACGGAAAAGACTAAAGAATCTGAAAGTATAGAACTAGTTGAGCTCACAGCCAGGTTTCCCTTAACGGGGCTTTTGGGTGGTGGTGGTAATACAAATCAAAGGATTGTGACATCCTGAAGGATGTCAGATCTGCACGGTCGCCCGGTCGCTTCACTGAACCCGGGTCTTGAAGGTTGGGGGGGGTGTTCAAAGGAAGCCTTTTGGGCAAGGGGTGTGACATAGGCGGGGCCATTCCTGCAACCCTGAATGTCTCCTAAAAGCGGTGTCGCCCTCGGTGTTGCAGCTGTGATCGCGGGCGGGGTCATCGGCTTCCTCTTCGCCATTTTCCTCATCTTGCTGCTGGTGTATCGCATGAGGAAGAAGGACGAGGGCAGCTACGACCTGGGCGAGCGCAAGCCGTCGAGCGCGGCCTACCAGAAGGCGCCCACCAAGGAGTTCTACGCCTGAGCCCCCGCGAGTCTCTATTTATGAGATGGCCGAACTTTCAGAAATAAAGCTTTTGCATAGAATAATGAAGATCTTTTTTGTTTTTCTGGGTTGTTTTTTGTTTGTTTGTTTTTATTAAAGAGCCATTCTGGCCCTTTAATGAGAAAATCCCATTGTATTTAAAACTCTCCATGTATTTCTTTAGAACAACGTAAAATTAAAACTTAACATCGGCAGTGTTCTGTGAATAGCAGTGGCAAGACACGATGTGATGAAAATGCTCGATGTTCATGGAGTCGGTTTAAACGTCTATGTGCAAATACGAGATGATTGTTTTTGTTCAATGGTTCCAAGACGAGAGCTGTTTAGTTTGTGTCGGCATGTCTCCCACTGACCTGACCGAGTCGGTCTCACTTTGTTAATTTATCTGTTGTTCCCTTCTCGGCTCTCCCCTCGTGTCCCCTGGAAAACAAAACAGAACTCTATGCCTTTTGTAGCTGTTACGGTGCAGTTCGTCTTTGGATAATTCAGATAATGGTAATTTAGTGTATATGTGATTTTCAAATCTGTAAACTTCAGCCTCCTTTGTATAAATTTTTAAGTGTCAGACTATCCATTTTACACTTTGTTTTTTCATGACCTGTAGCTTCAGGCAGATTCGCAACAGCAAATTAATGTGTAAAATTGGATTATTACCAGAAAACTGTTCAGTCGTATCTGATCCGATCTTCTTATGGAAGGATTTGATGTGAGTTACTGACAAGCCTCAGCAAACCCAAAGATGCTAACAGTGTTTTGAGAAGTTGCTGCAGATTTCTTTGGCCACTGTATTTGTTAATTTCTTGCAATCTGAAGGTATGAGTAGGAGTTTAAGGAAAACAATCAGTTTTTGTTCTTAAAAAAATGCATTTAAGTTGTAAACGTCTTTTTAAGCCTTTAAAGTGCCTATGATTCTATGTAACTCGTCACAGACTGGTGTTCGTGAGTATATATAACAGTTAAAAAAAAGTTGGTATTTTATAAGCACAGACAATTCTAATGGTAACTTTTTTGTAGACTTATGAATAGACATAAATTGTAATTTGGGAACATAAAAACTACTGAATAAATCATGTGGCCTAATAATGGAAAATGTCAGTTATAAATTTTGTACATTTCGATCAAATGTACATCTCCCCTTTGCCAGTGACCATCTGCCCTGAAGGGTGACATGGGTTTGATTTCTGAGCGTCCCCAGAGTCTGTAAGTCGTAACCAAAGAGCTCCTCACTAGGACTGTTACGGATTCGCATCCGAACTGGCCAGAGGAAATCGAAACGTATCATCCTGTGTGTACTGGGGGGTAGATGCTCGAGGATTGCCAGGGTGGGAACTGCGACGTTTGCAAGCTTTATAGGACAGCCGATGGCAGTCTTGAGACAGATGCCTGCTTTTGCAAACAACTTTTAGGGCTATAAATTCCAAAGCACCGAAGAGAGCTTTCCTGGCGTCAGTGTCTTAGATTTAGCTGCATAGGGTGATCTATCTTGGAACCTGGGCTCCCAGTCTCTCCCGAAGCCTGGCGGATCGCTGATGGGTGGGACACCGTCGCTCACGCCCAGGGAAGGAGAGGGGCAGGGAGCGCCGTGGGTAGCGAGGGCCTCGCTGCTTAGGGCTGAGGTCGCTGCAGGCAGCGGTGCCCGAGGAGATGGAAGTAGGGGAGTCCCCTGCTGGGGACTTTTTTCTAACTAAACATTTCCTTTTTCTATTTTACCATTAACTGTTTTAAATTGTGAGCTGCCCAAGTGGGAAGAAGACGGCAAACACGGCAACCTTTCCAACATACAATCTTCTTTCAATAAAGATGAATACTTCATTGCGAGAACATTCCCTGGGGTGGCCACAGAACTCATTTCTTTTAAAAAAATGGAAAGCAACACTCGGAACGGTGTTTACTTAAATTCTTAATGGCCTTAATTCTCCAATTCCTGCCCTGTCACCTACAGAATCACTTTGGGGTGATGAAAAGGAGACAACAGCTTAAAGCTGCACAAGGTCCCCGGTCCCCAAGTTCAAGGTTAGGAATCTCGTGAGCTTCCCCCCAGCAGCGCCGCGCACAGTGAAATTCAGTTCGTAGAATAACAACTGCTTGGGAAATCTACGCCAGGAAGAGAACGTTGCTAGCAAATATTTTGTCACTGCTGGAAAGCAAAATATTTGTTCAAGTGCCAAAATAAAGTCTGTCACGCTGAAAGTAAGACATCATTGTATAGACTGCCATCCCGTTCTCCAACTGTGTGTTTTCTGCCTGGTTTTATGTTTTTTACTTCTCAGATGCAATAAATAGTGCTATAAAAAGCGTTAGTCCTGATTACCGAGGTCAGGAAGATTTTGGTCCCCTGTAAATATTAAAGGCAGTGTGAAGATCTCCTGTTTCCTTGGCCACCCGTGAATGATCTGTGTGTAGGCGAGACCCACAATATTTAAACTCCATTTTCAGCATATGGGGGGGAAGGGTGGAGCGCATGGGTTTGTTTTTTTTAAAAGTTATAACCACAGGTACCTGAACTGGATTCCTGGGAATTAGCTGGAAGGGTGTCCCCCAAGTAGTAGTCCTAACACTCAAATGGCACGGCGGTGTGAGGCTTTGGGCTTCGGGGCTTCAGGCGTGCTGAGCACTAACGAGACTGATTCATTCCAGTTGCCTTGGCCAAACAGCATTCAAGCAACAAGTGCTTGTAAGTGCAAAGCAGCAGGTTTAATCAATAGATACTTGCCTACTGAAGATGCCGCCTCCTAGAAGCCCGGGGTAGAGCAGTGCAGTGGGTAGACAGGGACCCTGCTCTCGTGGGGTTTGAGAGGGGTGCATAGTGGAAGCAAAATTAGACAAGTGGGGATGATCAGTCGGTGGTGATCTCTGTGACGGACATAATGCAGGCCGGTGGAAGGGAGAAGCCAGAGCACCTTCCCTCTCCCTGCTTTGGGCAGCTCCTCCAGCACTAATGAATCCCCCCTGTGGGTTGAATTCCCTGGGGACGGACCCTCCTCCAGGTTCCCAGCTCCCACTGTTCCTAAACTCTCAGAAACCCCCCTTTCCCCCTTTGCCTCTCCGGCCTTAGGGAGGCTAGCGGCTTCCTGCCGTTGCTGTCCTCTGGGCTGCCTCGCCCTCCCCAGTTTGCCCTTCCAGCTTTTCCAACATCTTTGTAACTAATTCCCTGGACTGAATTCCCGCTCTGCATTAGCAGCGTGGGTTCTGTTTTCCTTCCCGGACCCCGGCTGACGACACAGAGTGAACAGCGTGTAGATGGTATTAAAAGCTATAGGACGAGATGAGAGGATCTGGAGAGGTAAGTAGATGGAGAAGGCGGGTGGCCCTGGGTCTGCCTTCTAGCAGTCTGTCTTTTTAGATGAACCGTTACCAGATTCACTCTTTAGCTCTGCTCACAGGACTGGGTTTTCGTGTTAGCATATGTTTAGCAGGGAAACAACCTGTAATTGCAAAGGGGGAGAAAATCTCCGTAATGTATCAGAGGGAGCTCATTTTTGAGCAAATTAACGAACATGTTCAAGTATCCACTTCTCCCAGGTCATTAATAACATACAGTATGAACTGTCTTTTTTTTAATATATTTTAAGTAATTGGGCTGAAGAGTAAGAACTATTTGAATATTGAGAAAATATCTCTATTTTCTGTGTTTAATGGGAACATAGCAAACAAGACAGTGGTTCTGCTGGTAGCCCTGTCCTGGGGCCACCGAAAGCAGAACTTTTACCTCCTTAATGATATTCTGCTTGGGTCAATACCAGAGTAAACCTGGATGTCCTCTGTCTAGATCAGTGCAAAGAAAAGCAGTAAAGATGGTACAAAATGTAGGTGGACTTGGCTCCACGTCAGACCCAGAACTTGGGGATCCTAAAAAGCTTCCTTTTCTAGTAACCCCTTTCAGTCCTTTCCTTTTATTATTTTATCACTTTTTTTACTATGTTATTTTCTTTCACTTAGCTTATTTTTTCATATGTAAGGTAAAGATAATAGCATCCACTGCATTGGCCTGTGGGAATTCAACGACGCACATTTAATAAGGTGACGCACTTAGCGCAGTATCTGGCATCTGTTAGAACCTCGATACAGGATCATTTATTCATTCCCCCACCAAACGTTCCCCAGGCACTCACTCTGTACCGGGCCCAGTTCCAGGCCCTGGGAACACAGGAGCCAGCCAAACAAAGCCCCTGTTCTCAAGGAGCTTATATTCTAGTGGGAAGAGACAGACAATACATATGTAATATATCAATGAGACGGTGACATTTGAGCCGAGGCTTGAAGGTGGTGAGAGATTGAGTCATGGTGGGTGGAGGAGGGAATCGGGGGAGCTGGGGAGCATTGCAAGCAGAAGACACAGCAAGTGCCAAGGCCGTGAGTGTGGCCGAGAAACGAGTGAGCTAGAGACTAGAATGGTGGGCAGTAGGTGAAGGAGTCACAGGCCAGATGGTACATGGATGTCCTTGTAACTGATGTAACGACCTTGGAGAGCCGTTGCAAGAGTTTGGACCAAGCAGTGACATTATCTGGTCTATTCTTAAAATTCCTTCTTAACCTTTGGCAGGCTTCAGAATCACTGGGAGAGCTTATTAAAACACAGATTTCTGGGCCCCGCTTCCAGAGTTTCTGATTCTATAGGTGGGTAGAACCTGAGAATTGGCATTTCCGACAACTTTCCTAGATGTAGCCGTTGCTGCTAGTCCAGAGGCCCCTCTTGGAGAACCACTGCTTCAAAGGGATTGCTTCAAGGTGCTGTGTTGAGAATAGGTGGTTTGTGGGTGGCAGATGTGGGCAAAAACGCAGCAGGAAGACTGGTGAGAGGCAACTACAGTATTCAAGGACAGGGACAATCGTGGGGGGTGGAAGTGGCGAGAAGTGACCAGATTCTGCAGAGCGCAGGGGGCCACCACGTCTGGAAACCCAGATGAAAAGATGATAAATGGTTTATTGACATTATACATTATACAAATACTCGTCTCCCAGATGGGCACATGCTCTAGACTCTGTCCTTCTTAGCATATCAGGAATCGCTGTCCTTACCCAGTCCCCACCAACCTCGCCGCTTTCTCTTCACTCGACTCCAGCATACACCTGGTTCCAGCCTTGTGCTCTATGTACCTGCTTTTGCCTTCGGATCTAAGTGTGCTTTAGACTCAGATCAGGTTTAATTCATCTTGCCGCTCCCCACCTGCTGCTGGTACCCAGCCCGGTTCCCAGGTTGGGTGACGGATGCACACACACATTACCATGTCTCTCACCAGCCTCTTACTCAATTCCTCTCTGAAACAGTGAGGCCCGTAAGTCTGGGACCTTCAGCCAAACCAAACCGAACGAACGCTCTGTATCATGTCAAAAGTCTAAACAATTGAAATAAGTAGGTGTTCACAGATATTTGTTAAAACCTTGGACTTGAACTTCACCTACTTAAAACACAGAAAGTGCTCTGATGGGCTAATGGTTTTCTTCCAGATACATTTTATCATTTTTTAGATAAACATTTAGCATCTGCACAGGGAACTTATTAGTGTTTTCCTCCTTTGTTCTTCCAATATTTCCGTTACTGTGCCACATCACCGCCATGCTGGGTCCGTGCTGTCCGGAGATCAAAAACTACCCTTTTTATGAACCTCTCTCCCGTTTATGTGAAGGAGGCCGGGCTGTAAACATGGTATGAAAAAAATTCTTATATGCCATCTTGATTGCTAACATCTGTTCAAATTTCCATTCATAAATTTAAAATCCAGGCGTTTGCAGCCATCTGTTTTCTTGTAACGATCTGAATAGAAGGAAAGCCCAAGGCAGCTGTGCAGGTGGGAGGGAGCCTCTGCCCGGCCTGGCAGCCCCCCGAGCTCTTGGTTCGCTTTCCCTTTTCTCCCCACGCCTCCCTGCAAGGCGGCATTTCAGTCCCTGTGTCTCAGCTTCCTGCCGTACTTGGGGAAGAGACTAGGAAATGGCCAGTCTTTTATTTCTCTCTTTTCTAAATTTTCTCCCCACCCCTCTTTTCAGTTCACTTGGTCATGTTAACCCTGTCTTCTGGGCGATGTAGGAAAAGCCCCTTGTTCATTTTATCATTGCTTTCCGGTGCCTTCTCTCTCTCCTTGGCTCTGTCCC